TATGAAAATGGCCATACTCCCAAAATTGTTATACAGATTCAATGCAATACTGATTAAAATATCATTAGTATACCTCACAGATCTAGAGACAACATTCCTAAAATTCATCTAGAACCAGAAGTGACCCAGAATATAAAAAGCAGTCCCAGACTACAAAGGAATGACAGGAGGCATCACAATCTCTGACTTGAAATTATACTACAAACTCATTGTGATAAAATCAGCATGGTACTGGCTAGAAAACTGACCTCAGGATCAATGGAACAGATTAAAAGATGCAGACACAACTACAAACACATTCAGCCATGTTCTCTTTGACAAGGAGGTAAAAACTGCTCACTGGAAGAAAGATAGCCTCTTTAAAAAATGATGCTAGAAAAACTGGCTTTCCAAATGCTCAAGGCTAAAATTAGACCCATTTCTATTATTATGCACTAAACTAGAGTCAAAATGGATCAAAGATTTAAAGATTAAAACAGAAACACTAAATCTTCTGGAGGAAAAAGTAGATAGATATTTTAAAGACATAGGGGTAAGTAGAGAGTTTATAAACAAAAACCAAACTGCATGGGAAATACTTCAAAGAATCAAGAATTAGGATCTCATCTGTCTGAAAAGTTTCTGCACAGCAAAAGAAATCACCAAAAGAGATAAAAGAAAACCCATGAACTGGGAAAAATTATAGCTGATTGTCCCTCAGATAAAGGATTTCTATGTAGAGCATATATGTTTTTTTAAATGTAGTTAGTAGAGAGTCTTCAAGGTCTCACTACACAGATTGGACTCATAGTGATCCTCCTGTTTTCAGCCTCCCAAGTGTGGGGCAAACAAGGCACACTGGGGATCGAACCCCAGTCCCTGTGCCTACCTAAGCAGGCTCTTTAGTCTGCTGAGCCATCTGGCCAGCCCCCCTGTAGAACACATAAAGAATTAAAAAAATCAGACCACCAAAATTCAAACACCTAATCCAAAAATGGGCATCTGAGATGAATGTACACTGCTCAGATGAAGAAACACAAATGGAAAATAAATGTATGAAAAATGTTCAATATCACCAGTCATTTGAGAAATACAAATTAAAACCATACTGAGATTCCACTTCATCCCAGAGAGAATGACTGTCATCAAGAAGTCAGCTAATATCAAATGCTAGAGTGGCTCTGTGGAGAAAGGAACTCTCGTCCACCATTGGTGGGAGTATAGACTGGTACAACCACTATGGAAATCAGTGTGGTGATTTCTCAGAAAACAGCTTGGAGGTGCTATTCAACCCCACTATTCCCCTCCTGGATATTTTTCCAAATAAGCTGAAAACATACCACAGCAATATATGTGCACTCATGTTTATAGCAGCACAATTTGTCATAGTTAAATCTTGGAAAAACCCAAATGTCCATCAACTGAGAAATGGGTAAAGAAGAGTACCTTTTCATGTACTTTAGTTCATAATTATTTACATCTATAAAGGAAGAAGAAAATAACTAATGTGTAATCACTTAGAAATAGATTAAAACCT